CCCTTCATGACGATCCGCTAGAGTGCTGCGAGTGCCATTTCCTGTGGGGACCGAATAAGCCATGCGAATTGGAGAATGAGGTGGGGGCCCAATGGGAGGACGCGCTTGCCAGGTCACTGAAGGACTGTGCCCGCTGCTGTCAGCCAGATCGAGGCACACCGCCAACACACCACGACAGTGACCGTTTCAGCGGTCGAGAGCTCTGACCTCTCGCCAGCCCTGCCGCACCTCCAAGGGGATAACCTCCTTGGGCAAACTGACGACACCGGGAGGCCTGCGTACCTTAGCATGGGAAGCCCAGGCTGCGGCTCGCCATTATCATCTACACGTTCCTCTCAATTTGTTGGCTTCTTGTCGCATCAGACGAGTATTCGTCCGCAAGGGCACATCGCCTAGTCACTGATCCCGTTGGGACTAGACACTCCGAGTATAATCCGGCAGTGATCTATTTAATCAAGGGGTCAAACTTCAAGGTGCCGGCAAATCCAATAACACCAGTCCATGAGACGATTCAGAAACACATTTCCTTGACGATCCTCCATATCTCCCTATAGCAAGAATTTCCCATTAATTGGTATCTCAAAGCTTTTGTTGTACCTACATTCCAGTCATGGTCCCCGAACGCCCCTGGTATGCAATATTGAATTCCTATGAGCTTTCCGCCTCTAGCTCTGTCGAGGCGGCCTCACCCTGATTCGTCGGCGCACTCAACGAACCCGCATCGCCAGCCTCCTGGCCCTTGTTTCGTCTTCTGCGCTTCCTCTTCGCCGGGCCTTCCCCCTCTCCTTCGACTCCATCCGCCGCCGCCGCCCGCGGTTCCTTCGCTTCCTTTGGTGTCGCATCGCCGTTCGTGGTCTTCTTTGCCTTCTTGACCGCCAGGGGGTTCGGTCCCTTGGGACCCTTCCTCTTGGTCTTCTTCTGCTCCTGGCCTCCATTGACTGCCCCGGCTTTCCCTGCCCCACCCTCCTTTCCGCTTTCTTCGTCGCCGTCGTCCTCGCGCTTCCTCTTCCTTTCGGGCTTGACGAGCCCGTCGCGGAACTTGCTCTTCTCCTCCTTGGTCCTGATTGCCACACTCTCAGTCGCCATGGGCTCGAGGATCATGACCGATCGCTTGATGTAGATTTGCGGGACGCCAGGGATCTCCCGGAGCATGCGGCGCACGTCGCCCGACTGGCTTGCGACGCAGTAGCGGTGCTTGTTGACGAGGTTGCTCTTGGGATCGACGACGGCCTTCATGCATTCCATCGTACTGAGGGGTTCGGGGTAGTCCTCCGGCAAGTGACCGCAACGTCTTCGCTCGAGGGTCTTGGCGAAGTCGATGATTTTGTTCATGTCGGGTTCGTTCTTGCGTAGATACAGCTTGCGGATCTCGCATTGTGTGATCACTTCGCATCGTTAACCGAGGGACTTCTGATGCAATCATAGCATACTCACTTGGCTTGACCTTGCCGTGCAGTGTGCGCTCGAGTCCGGCGAGCAGGTCGTATCTGAAGTTGTGGCAGTCGACCACCATTTCAGCGTCGACTAGGCATTGGTACGGCTCGCGGAATCCCCATGTCAATTGGTACTGATTCATCAGCTTGCGATACTGTTTGCTACGTTTTCCGCGCATCTTTGATTCAGGTGGCGAGGAGTGCCTTGCCGTCAAAAGAGAGGTTGGTAATCTGGTTGTGGAAGCAGATGTTTGCGTTGCAAGTCGCGAAATTTCTTGCTGAAAAAATGCGATAAGATAAGAGGTCGGGTCCATGGAAGCCGATCTAACCCCACCATAGAAGGCCGGCCGCGGCTTTTAGTAACGTCACTTGGGGAAAACTCCGGATTCTCAGCAGGGATGAACACCTCAAAGGCTTTTTATAAGACATTGCTGGGTTTGGGTGATGTGTTTGTTCAATTAACTGCGTGCCTTTCACTATCCATAGCTTCCCAGGAAATTCAAAAGCCAGCGAAACGCCAAGTACCATACCTCCCAAAAGATGGCCACAGTCATCCCGACATGGGTAGGGCGTAGGCCAACATAATTGCAGCCTGCCCCTGCAAGACCTTTTCCGTAAATCTATTTCCAATGATTGTTTCGTGGTATCGCCCTCCCAATATCATGCTTCCTGTTTCCTCACTAGCGCAGCGACAACGCTAATGTCATCGAGTTTGCCTGTGTCCTTGTTAGCCCCAGTGACTATTGTATACTGCCAAAACCAATAGCTTACCTCCAACGCTGGGCAGTCCTTCCTCAATGGCATGCTCCATAAAGGGGCTTTCCGCAAATGGATCCGTCGCAATTTTCTTCGCGGCTGCGACCAACTCCTCGGCAGCGAGCTTCATGCCCCCGTTTGCGCCGCCCGTCCGGTCGCCCTCGACTCTGTTGCCCCCGCATTCTCCATTCTCCCAGCGTTGTATGCTGTTCTGAATGCTGTCGACAATCTCATGCTCCCACAGGTTGTCGATGACACCGTCCGACATGGCGAGAACCACATCCCCGACTTGTATTTCCACAATGTCCAGGACTGCTTCAGTGTTCGGGGTGTCGGGGCTGTTGGTGCCCAGCTGGCGCGGGCAGTCGAACCAGTGCCACTGTTCTTTGGTCTTGTAAACAACCTTTTCGTGCCTTGGCCGGAGGATCATGACTTGACAATCGCCAAGATTGGTGACATAGACCTGAGGGACCTTCTCGCTGCCTTCAAGTGTTTTGTAGTGCAACAGCGCTCCACTCGCTGTCGTAGTGCCCTGCCAGTCGTTCGGGTCCGAAGTCGCTTTCAGGGTCTGCTCATAAGCCGTCTGAAGATATGCAACTGGATCGGGCTTGTAGACGTCTCCTTCGGAACGAGGATTGGTAGCATCTTGCTGAACAGCCTTTGCCCAGTAATGAAGTATCAAGCGAGACCAGAGACTATTTTCAAATCAACATTGGACGTCCGATCAGTGGAGAATAAGGCACCTACCCAGCGTGGCCCCTGGGGCGTGTTGACCAAGCGCCAACACCATCATTCGCGCAAATGAAGTTCTCGCTGGCGAATACTGCATCGTCTCCGTTCGTCTGACCGAGGATGATTTGTCCGTCGACTCTCGCGCGCCGATCGCGGCTTCGGTGATGAGTGCTGAGCGGATCCGAGAAGGAGCCCGACGGAGGGGAGAGGAACGGTGGCGGAAAAGGCCGCGGCGCTCGCTTGGCGAAGAGGGAGACGCCGGTCTCGAAGCGAAAAGGTTGCGTTCGTGGTTTGTCTTCGGGAGAATCTGCTTGCGACGGCGTCGTCGTTGTCGACAGGCAGGCCGTCCTAAGTCGGGACCGCAGCGGCCATGATGCTGATGTGCCCTGAGGCACTCTCGGCGGCCGCGCTTTGAAGGTGGTGGTCGCCAACAAGGGCCCAGGTAGCCTCCTCATTCCCACTTGTGAGGCAGATCAGGCGCCTTGTGCGATGTTGGATCGCAACGAGACGAAATCGCTGGGCCTGGTGCCGTTATCTTTGCTTTGGCGCTGGAAAGGGTGCCGCTGGGTGTCGGGCATGGCCGGGGGGGTGGCTTCGATGTGTTGGTTGGGGGCTCTCCGAACCGGGGGTTAAATTGGGGCTACACGTGCAGGCGCGTTCGGTCGGCGCATTGGCACTGGGCTGCAGAGTCGCAGCTGCTGGGAGCTCCAGAAGGCTGGCACGCTGGGGACCTTAAGATAGGTACGTGCCAACCTGCTGAATTAGGTAAGCACAGGGCAGTCAAAACACCCCCACCTCTCTTTTTAGTCACCAACAGCCCACCTAACATTTGCAGTAGCTGTTTGAGCCACAACAGGTTGCATGTCAAGTGAGTGACAAAATAATTCGCCAATAATACTTTTTCATCACCACTGAACGGATGTTATACAGAGAACATGCCGAGAGGAGATTCAGCCTAGCAGAGCAATAATGGTAGTGGTTATGGTGACAGACAGAAGTCGTCAGGTTGTGTTGAAAGGCAGATTATTTTGTCACCTCCAATGAAGTGAAGTACTTGCAACTAGGAGTCTCCCTGTCCCTCTTTGACCGCACTTTGATGAACAAGCTCCTCACTGGCATCACCCTTCGCGGGACTAAAAGATAAGCAGCAAACAAACAAACAAACAAAAAAATTCGACCGAAAACTCTTACGGATGTGCAGCGTAAGGGGCTTCCGATGGGGTCAATAAGTGGCAATCGATGCAGCTGCAGAACTTGTTCCATATAAAACCGAACGTGCCGATGTTGTATCATGATCAGAAAAATTTGACCGTTTAATTTCTTACCGTTCCCTCCTGCTAACTCTCTGTCTCTCTCGTCTCCATCGGCATTTCCGGTTGGAGAGGAACACGTTGCGCATTCAGTCCGCTGAAGAGGGGGTTTTTCGTCTCTCTACGGATGCGCAACCTGGAACCAGGGTACGAGAGGCTCATATCATCAGCGGATCGACATTCGGGATCGACAGCAGCTGGCCCGGTTGAGGTGGCCACCGCTGACCTGCAGCCTCTGCGGGGGTAACATAGCAAAAATAAACACCATGGCTGAGCTGGCGGCCTGGAAGGTTGGTATTGGAGCCTTTTGCGTCGCACTCGTCCATTCGGCATGGCGACAGATCAACTCACATTTTCACCACATGAAACCCAGCAAGCCTGCATCGTTGGATTTGGTCAATAGCCGCAGGTTGGTCAACCGTATATGTAGCATATACGAGTGAGCAGGTTGTGTGGAGGTTTAGAACTCAAATTCTACAATTTGGCAATTGTTGCCGATCTTTTCTAACAACATCATCCGGACCAGACAAATGTCAAGGAGACACGCAAAGCTTACAGTTCGGATTGCCGACTTCTGACAAACGGTTTGGTCTCTCGTCAGTCTACCGACATGCTCTCCGGCCACCGTCTCCCCTACCCTGTCGTGCCTGTGTGCCTGTCTAAGACTCTGGAGAGTGATCCATGACGCCCGAGACATTCAGTCGCCAGACCAGCAGACTCATGGACTTTATTTGCAATGTCTCGCCCTTGTAAGACGTCTGCCCATGCATCCAGACCAGCGTTTCCGAATGAGCAGGTAGGGATGGCCAGAGCCCCGTCCACGGTTCACCGGACATGACGTAACGGGGCTGACGCACAGTATCGACCAACAGGTGGCTCACTCAGCGTCGTTAGTCAGGACTTTGATCATTTGATGAGCATATGTTGTCACTGGGGACCACGCCATAGTTTGCTAATTTTCTTTGCTTGTGTTGTTACTGCTCACGGTCGATAAACGCGCGTCGAGAGGATCTCCCCGAGCCGCCAGCGAACCGCCCCGTAGGCCGGGAGTTGTCTCTTGCGGCGCCAAAGTCACTGCCGACCTCGACTCTTACGGCAACGCAGTCCTCTTCCAGCCCGTCGTACCGTTGTAACGCTCAGAGGATTCAGACTCAAGTTCTCAACAGGTCGACTTGCACCACTGGGCCCTGGATGTCGCATTGCTTTAGCTCATCGACATATACCAGCACCCAAGGTGAAGTCTGAGAATTTCGTTTCCCGCCATACTGCTTCGTTCTGGGCTTCGGTCTCCGGCACGATTGGATCATGGGCCTGGATCACTCAAACAGGATGGAGTGCGAACGGCAAGTGCTTTCGTGGAGGAGCCAGAAACCCCTCAGCTATTCGATTCGTTCTCGCTACCGACAGCCAGTCGTTGTCTGCCCCTCGGCTCACTACACGACACTCGGTTCTATTTAGCATTTGGGAATAGCGCCTCCGGGCTCCCTGAGGCTTACTTGGACCCTATGCGGATTCCGAATTCGCCTTGCCGCCCTTCAGCGGAGGGGGCCTGAAAAGTGACTGGCCGGGGTGGTACAACCCCTGCCCCGGCTGCATGGCAATGGAGCCCGTGAGAGGGGGTACATTGTAGAATATTGACGCATGCGGGACACAGGGCCCTCTTATGGACCCTTCAGCTCAAATTCCTCTCATGTCCGCGGTTCCGGAATAAACGGAACTTTGCTATGAATATAACGGTAAGCAATCTGCCAGTGGGCGGAGTCTCAAGGCGGCGGCGACAGCAGGGACTGTACGAGGAGCAGAAATCGAGCCATCCGTCCGATATCTTTCGTACTTTATGTTTTGTACAGACTACGGATTATGCACAGAGCAGTACAACATCCTTGCGTCTGGTTTGGAGGGGACTGTTCATAACAACGGGGAGAGAACACCCGGCCAGGTGGTTTCACGCCGGACACGATGCTGACGGCAGATATCATCGGAAGGCGTTGCAAACGGCGGCAGCAAACCTCAAACCTCCACCGGCGAGGCCTCAACTCTCTACGACGTTCTGACGGATACCCAGACAGTCAAGACCAGGGGGCCAACCGGCGTCGACGGCCCCTCTCGATCCTTGGCCCCATCTATGCCCCAGCTATTCGGAGTACCGACCGGCCTGGAAGGACCCTGTTGGACCGATTTGGCGCCCGCGACTCAATGAGGCAGGCGCATCAAATCACAAAGCATGCCATGCTGTGCCCCGGAAATACGTGTTCGAGGGTTGGCAGCGGGTTCGCTGCTTTTCGCTCCGAGATTGATAGGATCCCTGTGATCGCGGACACAGGCTCACGGCTTTGTCGACATGGCCCTGAACCGAGGTTCCTGAACAGTCACGGAAGTGGTGGCAGAAAGCCCGAAGCCAAGTCGGCAGCGGAGTTCCTTCCATGGGTCTGAATGTACATTAAAGTTATATTTTCAATGTCAATGAAGCTCTTATGAGGGATAGGAGTAGTCGCAGAGATGTCAATGAAGCGCTAGTGGTTCGGAGACGTACGCCTTCTACGGATACGGTCGGGCAACATCGACATGGACGGGGCTGGCTCACCGGTTGTGGACTCTGAAGATGAATGGAAGCTTGGTTTACTAGTGTAGGTGAGTTAAACTGCCATTGAGGATGTATTGAAGTGTCTTGAAACGGCAAAAAAAAAAAAAGAAAGAAAAAACAAACCGGGAGGGGGGGGGGGCGGGGGGGTTGGGGATTAGAAAAGAAAAGGAAATTTTTTTATATATATAAAGGTATAAAAAACCGTAAATGAGTAAATAAAAAGGTTTTAAAAAAAAAAAAAAAAAAAAAAAAAAAAAAAAAACAGCTGTTGAATCATGGGTGCGTCGTTTAATTTAGGGGAAGCTACGTGTGTTTTCAGCAGACGATGTGCAAATTAGGTAGGCATGAAATATCAAACATTCCGGGGAAGGACGAGGTTTCTTTGCAAATGTGCTGCACGTGGTTCATCGGCCCGGGAAAGACATTGCGACATTGGAACATGCATGTTTAAGTACTGTATGTAACCTAAATGATGAAGGCAATTGATCTTTCCCAGCGAGCTCAAACAAGACCTCCGATCGACATCAAAAGGATAGGTTGGACCTTATTTAAAGCCGACGACAACGTTCACTTGAAAAAAGTGGTGTTGTTCAAAACTGTTACTTCATATATTCTCACGCTTGTGTAGTGCAATGCAAGGTTCACTCTCCAACACGGGTTGACTGCCGGTGCTCGGGACCTGTCTGTCTCCCTAGCTCCTGTCCTGAATTTGAGATTCGATTCCCGGAACAAAATCAACGGCGGGGACAAGAGAAGGTAGGCCGCAAAGTAGATATTAATCGCAGCGGACTCGCCAGGGCGACAAGACCGAGACCGAAGCGGACATTACTGTGTTGAGGGAGGGCCGGTGATTTGCAAATGGCGGTGGCCGGCGGCGACGGCGGCATCTGACAACTCAATGGGGCCAACGACTCTCGCAAATGTGACACCCGAGACCCCGATCGCTAAGCAGCTGGCAATATCGCATGATTTACGATCTGTCCGGAAGAGAGTACCTACCTAGGCTATTACTGGACACTTCTCCAACTTCCAACTACTTTCGGTGGTTTTTTTTTTGGGCACAGCCACGCGGGACTCAAGACAAGTGCGGTAATTGACAGTGGATGTTGGACTCCCTAAGTGGACTAGCTGCGTCTCTACAAGTTGTCACTGTGTCTCTGACTTCCGAGCTTGCCACATACCTTGCGGGATGCACGGAGTTTTGTCTAGACGCCCAGCTGCAAGCATGTAAAGTGAGCAGAAGACCACCTACCACGGACTCTTCACACACGAGGTCTGCAGAGGAAACGAAATAGTCCATCTAGGGAAATTCTGCCGTCCAGTTCATCCCCTCTGTCTGTACAAACTACCGAGGCTAACCACTTTTGGGCCCCAAAACCTTGCCCAACCTCCTTCAAAACGCGAAGCCCTCCACGTTCTTGGATAAGGCGTCAGGTGGTGCCTTAATCCGTCCCAAGTAGGTAGCCCACGCAAGAGCCACAGCGCGTAGCCCAGGTGCATCTGGTGTGGACTGGGCAGGTGGCGCCTCTACCGCCGCCGGCTAAGCGTCGAAGAACTCCTTGCCTTGTCCTGTCCAAACAAGCATTCGCAAGAAACGCAGGAAACGAGTTTATTGACACGAAGAAAGGAAAACACACAAATAGCAACAGCAATATCCAAAGTAAATGGTTATGCACAGTTCAACAACGCAAACAGAAATGTGACCGAGGATGACCAAAGACTACATACTTCTCAGGCTCTCTCTTCTCAACTGCACACCGCATCGAAGAACGGGTACGGATACATTGTCCCGAGATATCTACCTCAGTCCAGGCCCCCCTCCCGGCACGGATCACGAATACACCGGCGTCTGCGCTGTCGGGTCCCTATTCCGCTACTGGTGCGCCTGGCCTTATTCACTCGTACGGGTCACTGGAGACAAGACAGGTAAGCAATTGGTAGACACGAGAATAACCATAGCTACAAAGGAGGCGTCCCGACCTCGCCTTTTTTTTTTTTTTTTTTCACCAACTCCAAGTCCCATCTGCAGTGCTCCGGTCGATCCTCAACCAGCGATCGCCTCATCCACCCGATCTATCGAGAAGTCGAGTCTTGTCACTTGTGGGTGTGAGGCGTTGCGCGTCCTCCCACCACCACCCCTGCTGGTGAGGTACACTACCTATGGACCGCCATACCTTGGCACGTTTCTTGACGGATATTGAGTGCCACTGGGCTGGACTGGCTGGGGCTCCTTCGCAACTGCAAGCACTGTCCAGTGCTTGCGAAGCTGTGAAGTGTTGCTGGTGCTCGTTGCTATGTAGCGCCGAACCCCCCGGCGCCAGTCGTTTGAGGGATTTGGGAAGTCTCGTCTTACACGCGCGCGTTTGCTATGTTACATCTTGCCTCGACCACCAGCTCAGCTTCTTTCAGCCGTCATAGTAGCCAACGGATGCAACTATGAGGCCACTTTGCGCAGTTGCGAAGAGGGAAAGGGCTGGGGGATGAGTTAGCAGATGCCGATGAGGATGCACGCATCCAGACATCCAAATACCAAGACCCTAAGCCCGCAGTGCCCGAATGCTGGCTCGTCTTGGCAGCCAAGGGTTTGGGTCCTCTCGACTCTCGAGGGGGCCAAAGGCGGATCAAGGAACCTTGACGTGCTGCATGCTGCTGCATCGTCCGACTCATCCGCAAGCTACCTATGGAACTTTTTGGCTCCCGAGAGGTATGTATCTGGAAGTACCTTTTGACCGCATTCATCGTCTCCTCTCTTTCTTTTCCTCTATCTCTCTCCAGCCTTTACACTTGAAGATGGACGAAAAGGAGGTAAGAAAAAAGGAATGGAAAAAGAAGGAATCAACACTCATGGGTTTCAAAAATGGGGAGGTCGAAAAGGCTAGAGAGACAACAACCAAGAAACCAGCAACCTACCCCGAGGCCGGCTCATAATTCCCATAGTTCCCACCTCGTAGATGACAGTAGTGACAGTACACATCAGATAGTGCGGCGCTTGTCGGGTGACACTAAGCACCGCCAACACCGAAAGAGCGGTAGGACAGTCATCAGCATCATCATCATTATCACGGCCGCGCAGCCCAGCCCGAGCGACCGCCAGAGCCGTGCGTGCGCAAGGACGGCAAAGAGACAGCGGACAGCGGACAGCCCCCCCCCCCCCCCCCCCCCCCCCCCCCCCCCCCCCCCCCCCCCCCCCCGCCCCGCGGGCCCGCCGCCCCTCGGGGCCGCGGCCGGCGGCGCGGGCACGCGCGGGGGGGGCCGAGGGGCGGACCGCCGGGGCCCGCCCCGCCCCCCCCCCCCCCCCCCCCCCGGCATAACACCATTACGTCGTCGGCTCTGGTTCCCGGGGGGAAGCCTTGGTCTGTTGCTCGTCGTGGATTAGTTTGGACGGGCCTAGCCCTGTTACCGCCGCCGCAATACTCTTTTTCCTGGGGCTCGTAGCTACTCTCACAAGTACCTTGCAAAGTACGAAGTACCCGGATTGCCTCGATCTGCTGGACCTGGGAGATCTCTAGGCCACCTGTGGACGTGCCTTGCCTTGTCTTGCCGTGCATTGCCTTACCTTTGAGCTGATCTTTCTGGACTGGTTTCTGGACCCGGGACCACCTACCAGCTGCTAGCAACCCTGCTGCAGCAACTGACCTGACTGATGACTGCCCTGACAGGGTGTGAGGAGAGGAAAGCGAGGGAAGAGCAAGTCATTAGCAGGTAGGCGGTGTTGCTAATTCTTGTTGCATAATACGCCTCCGTGTTCCGTTCTCCGTACTCCGGTACAGAGCACGCCTCGTGCTTTAATACGACTCGTGCTTGAATCTTTTGACACGTTCCCGTCCTCTCATGCGGATTCAAATACATCATCTCGGCGATTCTCCTGCCCTTGCTAGTCCTTTCCTCTCTGTTCCCTGGTTCCCTGGTTCCCTGGTTTCCGGTTTCTGCTGTCTGCTTCTTTGGACCTCCTTCGCGTCACCTCGACTCCCGGCCTCGATTCTCAACCTCAACCTTTCTCTAACACCCGCAGCAATCTGACCTCTTATTCGGATCCTCCAGTTGTTCAACAGCCATCAATATTAATTCCATCATCTTTGTGCTCGCGCGCAAAAGAGTAACGAAACGGCCAGACACCTTGTGTGCTTCACCAATCAGTCGCACTATTAGATTACAGACTGCGCACCTCCCGCCGAGTCACCCGTCCGGCACCCGTCGTCCGCCATCGCATCGCATCGCATCGCATCGCATCGCATCCACTACAACCATAGGATAATTTTAAGGCCGGAAATCCTCGAATCCACGAACGAGCCCGACTCACCCATTCGTGCGCCTTTCCTCTACGTCGGATCCGTGGTGTGAGCGAGGAATTACGCCAGACACAGCCGAACCTGTCGATTTCAAAACCCCCCAGTGTGCGCATATTGGGGGCCACCCGCATTTCTGCCCATTCCTCGCATCTTCGCCTCGACGCCTTGACGGGCTAGAGGGACTTGTCCTGCTCATCCAAGACCAGTCTTGGTCGCGCACGGCGCAAGTGGTTGTCTCTCAGTAATTTGGTTGCATGGTTGCTGGCTTGGCAAAGTCGGCTACGAAGCACAAGCAAAGATGGGCCGTAATCGAGGTTCGTGCTCCCACATTCCCTCACACAAGTTGCATAGTCCCCGATCCAATCCCCTTTCCCAGCCCAGCCCAGCCCAGCCCAGCCCTTCCTTGCCTTGCCTAGGTTGTGTCTTGCACCGGCTACCATGCGTAGGAGGCTTTTTTGGGTTGCGCGCTGGCGCGTGTTGCTGGCGTGCATCCCAATCCTGATATGCCCAATATCCCTTTCACTGCGCAATGCTGTGTGTTGCGCCTGGCGCAGGACGATCCAACATCAAATACCCTTGCCCGGCCTTGTTCTTCAACCTCAGCTGGTCCTGGATCACTTTGGATCCCCAGAATCCTGAACCCAGTCTCTTCCGGCCCTCTCTCGAGCCTGTGCAGTCTGCACTCGTTGGCATTTGCTCACCCTCGTCATCATCCCCTTCACTTCCCTGCTGCTGCCGCCCCAGCATCGCCCTGCTCGGCCGTTCTCACCATCTGCCTCACCCTCCCCTTGCGCTCCTCCCTTCGTAATCCCCCCCCCCCCCCCCCCCCCCCCCCCCCCCCCCCCCCCCCCCCCGCCCCCCCCCCCCCCCGCCCCCCCCCCCCCTTCGCCCCCCCCCTTCCCCCCCCCCCCCCCCCCCCCCCCCCCCCCCCCCCCCTCCCCCCCCCCAATTGTCGGGGGGCGGGGGATTTTGTTTATTTTTGGCCCCCTGGTTTTTTTTTTTTTTTTTTTTTTTTTTTTTAAATTGCCT